TTTTTGTCTCCACTTGGAGAGAAGATTCCACTCTGGGAAGACTTGACTGGTGAATAAACATGGGAAGAGAAGACCCTACACTTCTCTTAGTCTCCCCCTTTATACAGTGGACCCTCGACCAACTATATTAATCCGTTCCTGAGAGCTCATCGTTAATCAAAATTATCGTTAGTCGAGTTAATTTTCCCCATAAGAAATAATGGAAATCAAATTAATCCGTGCAAGACACCCAAAAGTATTGAAAAAAAAAATTTTTACCATTTTACCACATGAAATATTAATTTTAATACACACAAACTGAAGAAGACATGTACAATTACATGACACTTACCTTTATTGAAGATCTGGTGATGATTGATGGGATGGGAGGAGGGGAGACTGGATGGTGTTAGTGTTTAGAAGGAGAATCCCCTTCCATTAGGACTTGAGGTGTCAAGTCCTTTTCTGGGGTTACTTCCCTTCTTCTTTTAATGCCATCTTTTAATGCCACTAGGAGCAGCTTGAGTCACTGGACATCTGTCGCACAACATATCTGTCCATAGAGGCCTGTACCTCCCGTTCCTTTATGACATTCCTAAAGTGTTTCACAACATTGTCAGTGTCACAATTAAACACTTGTTCAGGTTTCAGTTCTTCACTGTCTATGTACTCCTTGAATTCCTGCACATATTTTTCAGCTGCTTTTTGGTCCAAACTCATGCCTTATCACACTATGTATGCCACTACAATTCTTAAATCTCTCAAACCAACCTTTGCTGGCCTTAAATTCACTCACATCACCACTAGTTGCAGGCATTTTTCTAATTAAATCGTCATGCAACTTCCTAGCCTTTTCACATACGATCGCTTGAGAGATGCTATCTCCTGCTATCTGTTTTTCGTTTATCCACACCAATAACAGTCTCTCAACATCTTCTATCACTTGTGATCTCAGTTTTGAAAACATAGTTGCACCTTTGGCAAGAACAGCTTCCTTGAACATTAAAATGGTATACAATACCGACAGGTTGTTAGGTAAGACACATATGCAACAGTTAGACAACTTTATTCCGAAACGTTTCGCCTACACAGTAGGCTTCTTCAGTCGAATACAGAAAGTAGGCAGGAACAGTAGAGATGTGAAGACGATGTAATCAGTCCATCACCCTTGAAGTCGTAGAATTTGAGGTTGTCAGTCCCTGAACTTCTCCAGGCTGAGGGACTGACAACCTCAAATTCTACGACTTCAAGGGTGATGGACTGATTACATCGTCTTCACATCTCTACTGTTCCTGCCTACTTTCTGTATTCGACTGAAGAAGCCTACTGTGTAGGCGAAACGTTTCGGAATAAAGTTGTCTAACTGTTGCATATGTGTCTTACCTAACAACAGCTTCCTTGATTGCCGTTTTCTTGGCCACAATAGTAGCGATGGTTGATTGGGGTTTTGTGTACAACCTGGCCAGCTCGGAGACACACACTCCACTTTCATACTTAGCAATGATCTCTTTCTTCATATCCATAGTAATTCTCACCCTTTTTGCTGTAGGGTTGGCACTAGAAGCTTTCTTGGGGCCCATGGTGACTTATTTTGCAGGTGCAATCACTAAAAACACTGTGATAATATGAAATGTTCTGATTGTATGTTTGGATGGGACCGCAGTGGCTGGCTGGCTTGTAAACACTGGCCACAAGTGGACGCATCTCAGATGGAACGAATAGTGTTGGTCGAGTTTTTTAGCGCTAGTCGAGGCAAAATTTTTGCGTTAAAATGTATCGCTAGTCGGATTTAACGTTAGACGATGCCATCGTTGGTCGAGGGTCCACTGTATTTACATCTAGCATCTAAGTTTCCTTTTCCCTCGGGAGGTTCCAACAGTTTGTGTCTGTTCCTCCCCACTGCTGTGCATGAAAGCTCAAATACTTAGCGGCTTCTCACTCCCTTTTTTCTTAACCACTTCCGGTCTCATTCTCGGGCTGTTGCAGGTAACATTGAGGGTTCTAAACCCTCTGACGGTGTCGGGTTTGCAGCATTGTTCCCGGACAGTGTTGTATGAGGTCATTTATTAGACTCGGCTAGCATCTTCACTACTGGACTGGATGCAATTCTCATAGCGATTATCCGTATTGCATCCAGACGTACCTCGTAGTTTCTGGTAGTCTCGGACTCCTCTAGTGCTTTTCAAGCTACCAAAACCTTAACTTGCCCCGTCCTTTAGTTCTTCACAGACAACTTTGGTTGCACCGCATTTGTAGCAAAAAAAAAAAAAGAAATTGCTTTCTGCTGGGTCCCTGGTCACGTTGATGTTCAGGGCAACGAACAGGCAGACTCGGCTGCACGATCAGCAGTACATGACCTTCCAGGTTCATATAGAGGTATTTCGTTCTCATTATTTTGCTATCATCTCTAGCTACCTTTGCAACCATTGGCAACAATGTTGATCTGAATTAATTTATAACAAATTACACTATCAAGCAGAGTTTAGGACCCTGGCCATCGTCTTATCGATGTCGTGGTTGGAGGACTACACTTTCCCGTCTTTGCATCAGGCACACGTTTCACTAATGGGTATTTCACGGAGAGGAGCCCAGCCAATTGTCAGGGTCTCATTTCAGTTTGTCATATTCTGTTAGACTGTACAGTCTATCGGCAATCATGCAAAATTTACCTTCGACATCACCGCTCAAACACCCTTACTTTATCTTCCCTCCTTGCCGATGGCCCCCCACCTTTGACTCAGACTCCCTCTTGACTTTTTGACAGCAACAGATTTATTACACAACCTTTGATTATACTTTCTTTAGCAATCCTCTCCACCCTTACTAACTCTACCCTACGGCATTGTATGACCCTGGTAGTTGAGCTCTTAGTTTGGATAATAATAATAATAATTACAGCAACAAATTTATTACACAAACTTGATGGTACTACTTTTAACACTTCTCACAACCCTTTCTAACTCTACCTTTGCTAGTTTCTAATCAAGCAAGCACAACCTGCCCTGCTCTGCTGTATGACCCTTTTGGGTTTATTTCTTGGTTTTTATTATAATTTCTGAATATTCATGAAATTCCACTCAACCTTCCTTCCAACCCTTTCTGTGACATCCAGCCCAGATTTTCAATGTACACCTTGGTCAGCCAGTTTATTATTTTTTTTTTTTAATGACCCAATCATCTTGATCATCCCTCTCTTCTCTGAATTTTGCATTTTATACCACCACAAAAAATCAGCTCTTGTCCAAATAAATTTCTAATTCATATAAATGACTTAAAGATGGAATATAAAACCATATAAACATAGGAAAGGTTGGAGGGAAGAGATAAGGAAGGCTGTTTGTACTGAGGGGCTTGAACATCCAGCAGGCGTGTGTGAGCATGTTAGGTAGGAGTGAGTGGAGGCAAGTGGTTTTTATGATGTGTGTTAAAATTAGAGAAGAAAAAAGTCTTGTACAAAAGAAATTACAGTAATACAAATGACTAGATCCATCACACATGCTTGCAGCTGCTGCCCCAGTTCACTTAGCAGTAAGTAGGTACTTATTGCTCTAAGTGTTAGTCAGCTTTGTGGTCATATACCATAAGTTGGGCTCGGCTTTGAAATGAGCTTAGGTAGGATAACAGCTCTTAGCCCATAACAGTGGTCTGTGTATAAAAAAAATAAGACTGATAAATTGATCAAATGGAACAATAGATGGATGATAGAATTTATTGCAGGTAAGTGCCATGTAATGGAATTTATTGCAGGCCAGACTTGATTCCTGGAGATGGGAAGTACAGTGCTGACACTCTGAAGAAGGGGTGTTAATGTTGCAGTTTTATAACTGTAGTATAAGCATGCCTCTGGCAAGACATTGATAGAGTGAATGATGATGAAAGTTTTTCTTTTTTGAGCCTCCCTGCCTTGGTGGGAAATGGCCAATGTGTTAATTAAAAAAAAATCCGCCATGTAATGGAATTTATTGCAGATAAGTGCCATTTAATGGAAATGGGTGAAAGAATTAAATAATGTGTAAACTATTTATGCCAGTAAGCATACTGTAATAATAATTCATATTTGTTTATATTTTTTGTACTTCAGTTATTTTCTTTTGCCATGAATCTCATTTCATGACTAGTATTCAGCAAATGTCAGAATGCTTCATAACATTTAGTATACTCTGAAGTCTAGCCTAACTCTTACACTGCAAGAAAATACCCTAATTTTATCTTCAGTGAGCATAGTGTATCCAACTTTTCCAGTTGTTTTCGTTAAAATAAAATTAGACATATCATTTCGTGTAATATGCTGGTGATAAGCTGGTAACAGGCTCTATTGGCACTGTTGTATTACATCTAGTAAATGCCCTCTTTCCACCCAGCTATGTGGTGTATTCATATTGTCAATCTTACAGGACTAAAGAAAACAATTCAGTTTTAACATCATTGAATACATATAAGATGTAGCCATCTTCAACTATTGCAAGTAAATTTCAATGTACAGTAGCTTGGTTGATAAACAATGTTGTACAATATGCATGAATGACAGCAAACAAAGCAGCTAACATTACTGTAAGTTAAAAAAAAAAAAACTTACAGTGCATATGTTATGAAACTGGATATTTTCTCATTTAAGTTTGCTCTTAGAGTACAGTATGTATTTAACATTTGTACATTAAATAAAATAGAAATAATTTCCTTTGCATGTGTGTGCATGTGTGTGTTATGAGAAGTTGCTTTGCTGTGAATTGGGACCTGTAAAGGGTCCAGAAATGCTGAATAAATTTACAGATAAATCTGTTGGACCTGCAGCAGTTAGTGGAAAAATGCTAATTAACATACAGTGAATAAAAAAATTCTCTTCAGTATATGCCTTGAACTATGTTTTTTTTTTTTCTGGAACTTCACATATAATGTTGTGCTGTATGAATAAAAATTGCTACTCTTCACTTTAGGGTAGAGAAATTTGTCTTGTTGCTTTTTGCAGCTACGCATAGGAAAACATGTGCTTCTGATATCTCACATTTATATTTTTCTTTCAGATAGTATGGCCAAGCGAATTGCAGCGAAGGAATTGAACCACGATAACTGGGCAGATGAAGAAGAGCCAGAAGAGATGGGCACCTTTAATCAAGCATCATCCGAACAATTGGTTGTACGGCAAATAAAAAAAGCACGGAGAAGAGGTGTGGCAGGAAACACTTCCTCACAATCAGTGTTCAAAGGATTCACTTCATTTACTGGATTTGGTGTAAACAAAGATTCTACTAGTCAACCTTCTTTTAGTTTTCTAAGTAAAAATTCTAACGAGACTGCAGCAAAACCATCTTTTGACTTTTCAAGTATGCCTAGCACAAATACAAATTCTATTACAAAACCTGAAACTAACTCATGTGAGAGCAAAACTACCACACAGCCATTTAAATTCACACAGGACACTGCATCCACAGATCAAAAGACAGTAGATTCTAGCAATACTAATGGTGTTGGACCAACAAAGGCAATTGCTGACTCAACTGGTAAAGGAGGTAGTAAGATTTTCCTTGCTCATCTAAAGGCATTGAATGAAGGTGTACTTCTTTGGGTTAAACAACACCTTGACAAGAATCCACATGTCAATTTGTCACCTGTCTTTGATGACTACAAGAAGCACTTTGAGGAATTAACCAGAAAATATCCCCCTGCATCTGGAGGGGAAAGTGACTCAGATGCAGGAGCATCAAACAGTTTAAAAAAGGATGAAGGTAGTGAGAAAGAAAATAAGCCATTAATTTCAGTGGACACATGTAAAGAGAGTCCATTAAGTAACAAATTAACCTCTGGACCTATCACAGCACCTCCAAATGCACCAACAACTGAGAAGAGTTTGGAGCCAAATAAAATGTTTTTCAGCTCAGGTTCCAATGCAACAGAATCTGAGAAGAAAACAGAGGCTGCTGATACAACATCTGGATTCACATTTGGGGGCTTTGGTACTAGCAGTAAAAATCCAGAATCCTCAATTTTTGGTGGTAGTAAGAATATAGGATTAATTTTTGGTGATTTAAGTTCTTCACAGTCTAATTCACCATCAAAAGGGTTCACTTTTGGGAATGGTAATAGTAATACATCAGAAGTTGCTGGAAGCAGTGTAGGCAAAGCTGAAGTAGATGATGAATCAAATGACGAGCCACCTAAAGTTGAAGTAAATGAAGTGAAAGAGGATGGTGCCCTCTATGAAAAAAAATGTAAATTATTCTACATGAAGGATAAAGAGTATGTAGAAAAGGGAGTAGGTACATTGTTCCTCAAGCCTGCTGGAGACAAGACTCAGCTGGTAATCAGAGCACTAACAAATTTAGGTAATATCTTGCTCAACATTATTCTTAATGCTTCTGTTCCAGCAATGCGTGCTGGGAAGAATGGTGTGATTATTGCCTGTGTCCCCAACCCTCCTCTTGATGGAAAATCTACATCCACTGAGCCTGTTAAGATGTTGATACGTGTCAAAACTGTTGAAGATGCTGATAATTTGCTACAAAAAATTGATGAGCTCAAAAAATAGGTTTTGGCATAGAGTATGTGAAAAAAAAAGTTTAATAGAGAAATATTGGTTCCGATGAAAGTATTTTGGATAAGGATGCTCGATTGAAAAATATTAAATATTTTTTATTAAAAATTTGTTTTTGGAAAATGCTTTAAATTAATTGGCTTTCAAGCTAAAAAAAATGGATTATTTGTATGAAGACAAAAAACTATGGTTATCTACTCCAGATGTTAGGCATTGCATAAATGTGGTTATGCTGTATTTTCAAATGCTAGGTGACAGCCTTCCAAATTTATGGAGGGTTACAATCCTAGACATAGCAAATCCAGAAACTGCAGATACCCAGAAATTCTCTCCTTAAAATAGTTTGATTTGGGCTCATTTTGTGCTTCAGAATTCATTTCTTAAACTATTGCTCAAACTCATCAATATTGACATTCACAAGAGAGGTTCTTCATAAAGATTGGTGTAGGTGTAGAAAATCACTGAGCACATCATCAATAAAATATTCAAAATTATTTGCAGGAGACCATTTAATAATAATGTTGAATCAAACTATCTAATTGGAGAGCTGTTGTGTATTATTTAACAGTAGTGTCAAACAACTTTACAATAAACTTGCTTATGCTGGAAACTTAGCTTGGTTTAAATGCTAAAACATCATAACATCTCTTTATCAAAAGTTATGTGCTGTCATTTTTATCCTAAAATCAAGTATGCTGTAGGGATGAAAGACAAAATTTTTTTTATTGCATAGTCATTTTATTAATTCGAACCTATTTAATACATTTATTGTAATGCCTGTCAGTGCAGCAGCCTATAGTATTCATTTTGATTTTGAGTGTGACAATGCCAAATGAATACCATATTAGTCAAAATAAAACACTTCATTATGTTGGAAATGCAGGTATTTCATTGTGAGTCATCAGTGTCAACTTTTTCTTAGAAACCATCCTAAATTAGTAATGCCAATTATTTTTTTTAATCAGTTTGAAAAATGTTACTCTACTAGTGAACATTTCAAGTAATTTTTGGATTGTCATTTGTCATAAATTAAATAATAAAATATTTTATGTGAAAAAATTTTTTATTACTTCAACTTTTTGAGCTTTTTGTATAAAAATGACTGATTTACCGAAACGGTTATGGCCATATTTACAATGTTACCCAGACATTACCTTGACTGTGTCAAAGTCCTTTGTAAATCCAACAACTTTCTTCTCTGCTCAGTAGTGCTATATGACCTTTATGGGTTTAGCACTTGGTATGAATATACAGTTTTCCAGACTCGTGTCTGCAACAAAAATATAGTATATTTGTCTATTAAATGTTAACATACTTGTAAAGGAGGTTTTGTGGGCGAGGGGCTTGGACTTCCAGCAAGCGTGCATGAGCGTGTTAGATAGGAGTGAATGGAGACGAATGATACTTGGGACCTGACGATCTGTTGGAGTGTGAGCAGGGTAATATTTAGTGAAGGGATTCAGGGAAACCGGTTATTTTCATATAGTCGGACTTGAGTCCTGGAAATGGGAAGTACAATGCCTGCACTTTAAAGGAGGGGTTTGGGATATTGGCAGTTTGGAGGGATATGTTGTGTATCTTGATACGTATATGCTTCTAAGCTGTTGTATTCTGAGCACCTCTGCAAAAGCAGTGATAATGTGTGAGTGGGGTGAAAGTGTTGAATGATGCTGAAAGTATTTTCTTTTTGGGGATTTTTCTTTCTTTTTTGGGTCACCCTGCCTTGGTGGGAGACGACCGACTTGTTGAAAAAAAAAAAAAATACTTGTACTATGGGTTTGGCACATTTTTGTAAATAAAACACTACTATGCCGAGAAATGTCTAGTAGAAGACTGTGATTGTAACTACCTAACTCACAATGGCAGTAAGGGGCTTTGATCTGAGGACCTCTCGTGGGAAGGTGCCTAGATTCAAGGTAGTGGACTTATCCTCCCTTTCCTTGGATCAAACTTTTGTTTCCCTTTTCCCAGGTGCTATATGTCCTACAGGTTTGGTGCTTCTTCCTGAGTATAATAAATGATCCAAATCATTGGGCTCATCTTTGGACTGAACTTGAATGCCTCCCATTCTTCTAGGTGCTGTATAACTCTTATGGGTGTAGTATCCTTGATGCTAGTAAGGGGCTGTTGATCTTAGGAATTGGACCTGTGCTCCAATTCCTTGAATTGAGCCTGAATGCCCTCTATTCCCTCAGGTGCTGTATGACCCCTATGGGTTTAGTGCTCTCTGGATGAATATTATAATACTGCTCTTGGAACAAAATCTGATTGTCTCTTATTCCCCAGGCACTGTGTGACCCTAAGGATTTAACACTACATGATTATAAACGAAAGGCTTGGATGCTACTTAGAAACTAAACATAGACTATTAAGTAGGACTTTAGTGCAGTTAACTACAATCATAAATACACAAAAAGTAGCTAATGACAAAAGGTCAATTACAAAATACGTAAATGCATATTATTTAAACTGGGTCTCGGTTTAGCACTGTCTTCGATTATAATAATTAAACTGGGTCAATGATCTTCAGTGTTGTGGAGTAATTGAACAGAGATGGTGAAGATACAGCAAGTTACTTAGCTTACAATACAAATAAAATGTTACCAATTATGTAACAGGAACTGAAGGAGGCTGGAAGAAGAATGGACAGTTGGATGAAAGCTGGTTTTGTATGATAGCGTATCACTGTCTCTTTTACATTAAGGAGATGAGGTGCTTTCTAACAATAGCTAAATTGATTGTTTGATAGGGGACTGTTCAGTGCTTAGGCAGGGGGTTCCAAATCTTAGGGCTTTTTATTTGTGTATGCCTCTTCAAGGGGGGCTCCTTGGCGTGGTGAAGAGGCGCTTGGTCTGAGGAATTAGACCTGTCGGTCTCCTTCCTCAGACCGAACCTAATTACCCCCCAATCCCACCTTCCCTATCCCATCCTCCCCTTTTACCTTTGCTCCTCCTCCTCCCCACCCCTCCCTTTTGCCCTTCCTCTTTTTGGCCTTTGGGATTTTTCCCACAGACGCGCTAGTTCCTAGGTAGGGGAAAGGGTACTGGGGTCCATCCCATTCCTCTACGGTATCCCGGAGGGTGGCTTTGGGTGTCTTTCGGGCGATGGGTGTATCTCTGGAAGCCACCTTTCGAATTCCCTGGGTGGTGGCCGAAGGAGGTATGCTTTGTGGTGGATATCCGGCCACCCTCTATTTTGTCCACCGAGGTAGCGCGGCAGATGTGAGGTCGCTATCCCGGATTGCTGGTTTACTGGCACTGGTTCCATGCTGCATCTGCGCTACTTGTGGTGCTGAGGTCCTCTTAGGTGCAGAGGGAGATTTCTGACCCTTTCATTCCTCCTGGGAACTATTCCTCCCTGCTCCTCCTTTTTTTATTCTTTTTTTTCTTTTTTCTTTTCTTTTTTTTTTTTCTTAAAAACAAAAAGAAAAGTAACCTAACCATAGAGAACCCAGTCCATGAACCTACTACCCCCGGGCCCCTTCTTGATACCACACCCCATTCTGACCCTGCCTCATTTTTTGACCACTCTTCAGACGCTCCTGATGCCCCTGGACCTCTTGTTGGTGCTGTCTCCTCACCTGCTTGAGGTACCGGGGTTTCGATTGACTCCTTCGATTTGTCTGACCTCCGCTCTTCTTTGACTATGCTACGGTGCGGCAATTTTCGAATCGCCAGCCCGTTTCACATCGGATCAACTCCGGTCCCACTCCTAAAAGCCAATGACAATTGCCTGATGATGATACTTCACCACCACCACGTTCTTCTCAGAAAAGATCAACACATCAAGCACTCCCTTTCCATGCTCAGTTTCGGAATGCACAATGGACTAAATTCTTTACGACTGACTTTCTCTATTGCCTATCTTTCTGACCATAGTGGGAATTGGATCTGTGCTCCAGTTCCCCGAATTAAGCCTGAATGCCTTCCCCATCCCCCCCCCAGGCGCTGTATAATCCTCCAGGTTTAGCGCTTCCCCCTTGATGATAATAATAATAATAATAATCTGACCATAGTATTGGCTAGGCACTCCTCCACCATGTTGGTAGAGATATTTCCTTCCATGCTCTGAAGAGCGGTACGCGCATCATCACTGTGCAGAATGCTACCCAAGCTCATGATCTTTCTCTGCTTTCCCATATCGATACTATTCCTGTCACTATCGAAAAACATCATTCCCTCAATTCTTGTAGTGGTACTGTCATTCTGCCCCATACCATAGTCCAACAGAATTTCCAGGCATGTGACAATGACATTTCTTGAACCGCTGGAACTCCAAGATCTCCCAATCCTCAAGGTAGACACTTATGTCCTTCCTGCCCGCGGGCGGAGACGATACCCTTGCAATGTGGATCGATTAACTTTCAACAGCCGTGAACTCCTGTCCTCTGTTTATGTAGCAGGACATCGGTTACAAGTTTGAAAGGTGATCCCTACACCGCAACAGTGTAGAAATTGCTGGCAATTTAGTCACCCAGCGAAATATTGCAGATCTATAGGCAGATGTAATATATACAGACTTTGCAAAAGCCTTCGACAAGTGTGACCATGGCGTAATAGCGCACAAAATGCGTGCTAAAGGAATAACAGGAAAAGTCGGTCGATGGATCTATAATTTCCTCACTAACAGAACACAGAGAGTAGTCGTCAACAGAGTAAAGTCCGAGGCAGCTACGGTGAAAAGCTCTGTTCCACAAGGCACAGTATCGCTCCCATCTTGTTCCTCATCCTTATATCCGACATAGACAAGGATGTCAGCCACAGCACCGTGTCTTCCTTTGCAGATGACACCCGAATCTGCATGACAGTGTCTTCCATTGCAGACACTGCAAAGCTCCAGGCAGACATCAACCAAATCTTTCAGTGGGCTGCAGAAAACAATATGAAGTTCAACGATGAGAAATTTCAATTACTCAGATATGGTAAACATGAGGAAATTAAATCTTCATCAGAGTACAAAACAAATTCTGGCCACAAAATAGAGCGAAACACCAACGTCAAAGACCTGGGAGTGATCATGTCGGAGGATCTCACCTTCAAGGACCATAACATTGTATCAATCGCATCTGCTAGAAAAATGACAGGATGGATAATGAGAACCTTCAAAACTAGGGAGGCCAAGCCCATGATGACACTCTTCAGGTCACTTGTTCTATCTAGGCTGGAATATTGCTGCACACTAACAGCACCTTTCAAGGCAGGTGAAATTGCCGACCTAGAAAATGTACAGAGAACTTTCACGGCGCGCATAACGGAGATAAAACACCTCAATTATTGGGAGCGCTTGAGGTTCCTAAACCTGTATTCCCTGGAACGCAGGAGGGAGAGATACATGATTATATACACCTGGAAAATCCTAGAGGGACTAGTACCGAACTTGCACACGAAAATCACCCACTACGAAAGCAAAAGACTTGGCAGACGATGCACCATCCCCCCAATGAAAAGCAGGGTTGTCACTAGCACGTTAAGAGACCATACAATAAGTGTCAGGGGCCCGAGACTGTTCAACTGCCTCCCAGCACACATAAGGGGGATTACCAACAGACCCCTGGCAGTCTTCAAGCTGGCACTGGACGAGCACCTAAAGTCAGTTCCGGATCAGCCGGGCTGTGGCTCGTATGTTGGTTTGCGTGCAGCCAGCAGCAACAGCCTGGTTGATCAGGCTCTGATCCACCAGGAGGCCTGGTCTCAGACCGGGCCGCGGGGGCGTTGACCCCCGGAACTCTCTCCAGGTAAACTCCAGGAATGCCCAGTCTGTGGTGCCGACGACCATTCTAATACATCTTGCAGTCGACCTTCCTCTTGCCTTAATTGTCATGAGGCTCACCCTTCGTACTCTCGCCATTGCCAGGTCTACTTAAATGAGCGTGAAATCCGTTGCCTCAAAGAGGGAAAAGGTCTCCCTTATGCTATGGCAGTTTCTCATCTCCACCTCCAAGGGAGACTACCCCGTGTTTCTTATTCTTGTGTTTCAAAACGTCCCCCCACTTCTGGGGTCCCATCCTCTGCAGCCTCCTCTGTTGTTACCCCTCCCATAGTCACTCCTGTATCTAATTC